ATGAATATCATATCTGGAACATCACATCGACTTTCTACTTTTTTACTCCTTAGTCCCTCTCTCTTCTTACTCCACCACCCTGTGCTCTGTCCTTGGTTCTTTCCCTCCTGTTTTTCTTACCTTCCTTTTAGTTGTTTTTGTCACTTCTCTGTTTTTTTTTCTTCTCTCTGGCTTTTCCTTCTTTCCTATTTCTAAATCCCCCATTGCATTTTATTATTTACCTTCTCTCTCAGTCATTTCATTCTTCCTCCAACCTTACTTCTCTGAATCATCCTTTAACTGGTGCCTGTTTTACTCCCCGCTCCCGCCCCACACACACGCTTATTATCACTCTAGTCTTTAATCTGCCCCTCACTTCCCATCTGTTCATTATCTCCAGGTTGTCCATCTCATCCCATTACAGACAGACTATGCTGCTTCTTGCTGCCCACATAAGAAACAGGGAGTCTTTTAGCTGGCCTGCTTTTCTTCATTCCACTGTATCTTTCTCACACCACATCCCACTTTGTAGTGAATGTTAATAACAACTTTAAAATATTTTTACCAAAAATAAAAAAAATACAGTCCTGGATCTGTGAAAAAGAAGACGACAGGGCCGCTTAGCTTTTGTGTGAGGTGCCGAATATACAGTTTTGCTTTTGTTGACTCTATTTCATCTTGCTGCTGTTGCTGACATTCCAAAGAACTTATATATTTCAACAGTCTTTATGCTCTATCTTTTAAACATACACACTCATAGGAGCTATCGAGAACAGAGGAAGCAATAAATACAGTCTGGAGAAGAGAGCCCATTGGACTGGCTAAGGAACCAAGAAATGCTTCGTGTAAAAGAAAAAGAGCACAGAGGTAATATTTTATAAAGCTTTTCTATTTTATTTATTTTTTTATTTTAGAGGAGGTTTGGGGCTTTAGACCCAGCTAAGCAATTTCAACATTTGTGGAGTCTCCAGTATGCTTTGGGATCACTTCCTGGAGTTTGACTGAATAGAAATGACTCTTAGTCATAACAAAATCTCCTATCTAAGCAAGATTATGGCACAAATGACCAGAAGAAACATCTCTTCCATTTTGGTGGTTTCTTTGCCTCTGGAAGGAAATTATGGGATAAGAATTCAAGACTACAGATCCAGGCACATTTGGAAGTCCCAAACTCTTTAAACAAATCACTGAATCAATTTGAAACAATAAGCATTTAAATAATTTTAAATCAGTAATTTAAAATCAAGTTTGGAAAAGGAAGTTTCCTAGTTTTCTGCTGTTCAGGGAGCAAGGGGTGCAGCACAGCTACCAAAAGGTTTTCTGTAGAAGATGAGTTAGGTAGAGTCCTTGCAGCTGATATATATGGGCTTAGTCGCTAAGAGCAAAGTAGGTTTTCTTGTAGGAGTAGATTAGGATATTGTTTCTTGCAGAACCATTGTCCTGTAGATTTCTAGTTTATATTTTGAAGATTTCCTTTACTAGAATGTTTTGGTTTGCAAGGAAAGCACAAAATACATGGAAGCTGCTGTGCTGGGTTGGTGAAAAGAATATGTGTGGCTCTTTGCTAACAAGTAGTTTCTTAAAGATCTAGTATCCAAACAAACTAAAGCGCATAAAACTTCTTGATAATTGGTTTGACCCCCAAATTCATGGTTCAGTTTTTATCTTCATTGAGGATGAAGATGGTGCTACAGTGTTACATCAGATCTTAGGTTCTTTATGTTTTTATGTGGTACTTACTTGCAACCTATAGATATAATCACTTGGAAATCTACAACTGTACAGCCACAGAACAATATGAAGGAAAAGGTATTCATTTAAAAAACCCACATTTTGTTGTTCTTTTAACATGCAAGACTTTCACTTCTTTTGACATAAGTTCTTTCATTTCCGATGAGACAAAAATCAAACTTTATTTTTAATAATCTTCCCCTTTTTCTAGCAGAAGAAAGTAGAATTTTATTCCATAACTTTCAAATGAGAAATATTTTGTTAGCATTTTAATTTTTTTTTTCAATTTTTGTCCTTTTTCATTTTGATAAAAATTGACCTTTAAGTAACCATTACCCTAGAAAAGTAGCATTTATGGCCAACAGTGAACTTTTTTTTGTTGTTTTACTTTAGAGATGATCAGTTAAGTTGCTGAGTTCACATCTGCATGATATTTTGTACTTGGTAATTGCTTCCAAAAGTGTTTGTTAAAAGATTGATCCTTATGATGCATGTTGACAGATATTGAGCTGAAGAATTTGCTCTCTGAAGAGTGTAGGTTTGCAGTATGCAGGAAGTATCAGGCAGCGATGCAGGTAATTATCACCTGATGTGACAACATAATGGTACCGTAAGCCACAATGCTTAAACTTTAGTTGGATGTATATGAGCCTTGAGATCCTGTGACAAAACCGAAATTAACTCCTATCACTTCAGTAGAGAACTAGCAGGGAGATATTAAAAAACCCCATAAATATTAGAAGTCCCTGAAAGCTAATGAACCAGTTTCCTTTAGCTGAAATGACAGAGTGTCTGCCAAGAAACCCAAGGACCCAGTCTATGTTTCTCTCTCGAAAGCAATTAGTCAATCAGTACCTTCACAGATCTGTGAAACAATCTGTCCTATTTCATACATCTTGCAAGAATTACTTTAAGGTGATAAGGTTACTGCAGTGAAGCCTGGCAAAGACTTTTACAATAGGGTTGTACACTATTAGAGTCACCAGCAGCATGCTAAGAAATGTCAACTGGAATTAAAACCAATCATTTTCAAATATATGCCTTGCTTTGGAAATGGTGAGGAATGCTTTTTACAGTAAGAATTCTCAGCCCTGTGAACACAGACTTTTTTTAATTTTTTTTTTCTCTTTTTGTGGGAGGAAGATTTTATCTTTTTCTTTTGGCAACACCATTTTGGAAGATGTTTATTCATTAAGGCAATTGTATCAAAAATCACAGAACTGCAGGTTTCTTCTCTAAACTTGTCACTGTTCTTATTTAGCTTGCATTTAAGGATTGTCCCTGCATGTAATTCTGAGTACATAGCATGGAATCTATTTTAAAGATTTGTGAAACACTTTGGCAAAACATCTATTTACTGAAAAGTGACATTTCAAAGTACCGAACTGAAATTGTGTTCAGCTTTTGGCAAGTAGTTTTGGAAAAATCAAAAATACAAGTTTGTAAATGGTTAAAGACTTGCTTCTAAAATAACGCATTTAAATGTTGCAGACTAATTTCACATAAGGATACAGCTACCATTTGCAAAGATAAGAAGAAGATAATGGCTCCCTATGTAGTCTCCATGTACTGCACTGATGTGGTAATATAAACATGATCCTCCTTGATTCCAGGCAAGCATTTTAAGCAACGGAGATCTAAGGTGCTCCAGGACAAAAGTGTGAGGTTAATAACTGGAGCAGTGTCTGGGACTTGGATTTTTCATTCACCAGAGAGGGGTCTTCGGCCACTCTCATGCCTAATAAGTATTTGGTTGATCATTAAAAAATGTAACAGAGACAATTGAAAACATTGCCTCCAGTCATCTTCATAATCCTATATCCTCATCCAGTATACTGATCTGGAGATCGTAAGTATTTTTTCACAATACGGTCACAGTACATTTTGAGAGTCTGAGAGGTATGGTGATGGCAAAGATTTGTTATTGTGTGCGAGACAGGTATGTGCCTATGTGTGCCAGGGCAGCTCTGGCTGGCCTCACTTATGTATCTGAAGAGATTAGTATAGTGTCAAGTGCTGTCTTGGCGCAATTTTTCAACTCAGAACAGGCGCTGTAGTAATGCCTGTGCTTTGGACAGCGGGGCAGAAAAACAGAAAATGAAGAATTTTGCACTAGTTTGCTCACATATTTACTCAGTTAAAACCTACTGTTTTTCAAAGTTACGTTACGACTGAATATGATGTTGAAGGTTGCATCCCACTCCTGTTGGAGTCAATGGCCAAACATTCATTCACTCGGTTAGGGCCAGCATTTTGTGGTAGTGAAATGTCAGCTGTCCCCCACAGACAACAAGTAGCTTTTAAATGTGATAAAGCACTTCCCTCACCTTCTGGTAAAATAGTTTGGAAACTGCACCGTTGGTTAGTGAGAGGTTTCTGTTGAGGAAATTCCTCTCAGCTCCAAAATATTTTCTCTTTGGACAATATTTGGCTTTACTGTAAAATTCTTACAGTCATCTCAAATAAACAAATGACTCAAGACTACCCTTTTAGAAAAGTCGACTGAAGACATAAAGACAACAGGAGAATACACTAATGCCATTTAAGTGAAATAAAATAAAATTTCTTGAATGCCTTCATGCCTGAATTGGCTACTTAGAAAGTAAAGGGTTTCACATTACATATAAAATGCTGAAGAATAGAATGAAGAAAATATATTATGACAAATTTTATTCCTTTTTGTTCACTTAATGCACATCAAATTTAATTCTGTGTTGTTATTTTAAAGTGACATTAACTAAACAGAAATTTTAAAAGAACCAAAGTGCAAGCTTCACACTCCCTCAGTACCTATTGCTGTTTTAATTGATAGATATTTTGGTTTTAATTTTTACTTATTGATATTTGTATAAAAACACTGAAGACTGCTTTTAAAGTCTTCACTGCTTTTATATACAAAAGGATGATATAATTATGCATTTATTCCTATGAGGTTCATTATCATGCAACTCTTTCTGGTATGAATAAATATCTTGAGAGAGATAACATCTTGGTCCTCTCAGGGTGAAGAGACATATTTCCTGCCTGAAAATAGCATCCTCACAACCAGCGACAGTAAGTTTCATAAACTTTGAACTCTACTATGAGAACCTTTCAGGATGATTATCCTCCCAGCAAAAAAAGTTAAGAGTAAATTCATTATTGTCAATATTGTCAATACAAACCTGTAAAAGAAGTCTGCATTTTTCAATGACAACACACGAATTTGAATCAAGACCGCTTTGAACATGCAGCTACTATGATTTTTTTCTCTTTTACTGGTTCTAGTAGACCGTCAATGAAATATTTACCTGACTAGTGTGGCTCTCCCTATGTCTTTGAGTCGATGAGCCTGCCATAGTGCTGGCCGACAGTCTTGAATATTCATTTTCCTCTGGTAAACCTAAAGCAGAACAATACTAATTTATAATCTGACATTTATCCATTGGCTGATTTCAGCATGAGATATTAAAAAGACCTTGACATGTTTTACTAAAAAAGAACAAAAAAATCACACATTTGCCTGGATATTTACTATTTCCATGCTTACTGGAACTGGAACAATTATTGTTTACCGAGTACGAATAGCATCATAGGTATGCATGCTGGTTTACAGAAGGAGCAATTGTACTGAAAGAGCCTACAAATAACACATTACCTATACACTGGCCAGGGATTCCTCCTGCAATGTGGAAATCCCTGGCTCCTCTTCCCCTGGCTCCTTTTCATCGCGGAAGCAATGCAAAGGGAACAGAAAACAGGCCTGTGGTCTGCTCTCAAATTAATGTCTCTAGGTCACACGGGAAGTAGGTCCAGGACTTACAACTTTATCTCCTCAGTACTGAGTTTTTTTGTAATTCTTGTACTTATTGTGCACTCTCCGTGTGGGAATTAGCTGCCCAAAATTCAGCTGTGTAAAAACCAGTCATCCAGTGTAAAAGAGCCAGGTAGTCTCCCTCTGTAGTCAAGAGAAACAAACACCCCCGCACAGTGATCCTAGAGCGAGGCTCACTGCCGGCGCTTCCCCATCACTTCTGCCGGAGTGGGAAGACCGTTCACATAGCACTACAGAGGATCTGAAAGGCGGGATGAGGGGAAGCAAAGGCAGAAGCAGAAACACAGTGAGTCCATGACAGGCGTTATTAAGCCTGTCACAAATTAGAATCACAGACACCATGGTAGGTCTGGTATCCAGCAATTTTGTATTGCTTCGTATAGCATATATTCCAAATTTTCATGCTACTATGGCATCCATAAACAGCATATCACTACTCCTCCTTTAGTCGGCTGAACAGAGCTAGCCACCACGAGAAGCGGATTCACCCTGGTAAGAGATATGCAAGTCAAATTGTTCTCAGTAGGTCACCTGAGATTTACTAACTAGAAATGGATAACATCTGATCTGAAGTATTCGATTAGACTAGGCATCTACCTTTTGTGTGGCTAAAACTAGGTAAGGTGGTTCTGGGCCTAGATGTGTAACTCTTAGACAAGAAAAAATGACGTGAGCCCCACTCTTTGCATGTTATACACAAGATACACAGAATCATAATGGAAACAATTCAAAGTTCAAATGCAATGAATCATAAACTACTTATGGGATTATGTACTGCACTAGACATAGTTCTGTTTCATGTTCACGTTCAGTTTCTTGTTCAATCACGAAGCTGGCATAGAAACACACTGTGAAATATGCTTGTCTTCCAACCTGCTATTTTCAGTATTAAAAATGTTTTGGATTTTTTTTATTTATTTTGATAAATGAGCATTAATTCTTATATGGTTACTGATATATGATTTAACTCCTGAAAATTGCATGAATAATCCCATAAAATAACCTGACTTTGGGAGAGAAATAGAACAAAAATTTTAAAGAGAAGGAATGATCCTTATTCCTTTTCGGCCTCTCTACCCTGCTTTTAGTTTCCCCCTTATAATGGTGCATCTCCACAGCTTTGTAACTAGGGACAGCTGGGATTTTTTATTTGTTCTTCTGAATAAAGCTTGTGTAAAGTATTAATAAATATGGATCTTTTTCTACATCTTCAAATCATCTGGACTTCCTCTGGACACACACAGGCAGTGAAGAAGGTGGAACCCCTGCTGCAGCTCAGGAGCCAGGTCAAATCTTGTGAGAATCCAGCATTTCAGTCCTTTTCTGCCTGGTGCAGAGAGGGACTCTGAGCCAGTTCTCTCAGTGATTTGAACTATGTGTTGTTTCGAGGTGGAGTTACCACTTTTTGAAGCTGGTCCATGATATATTAGGTATGTATGTACTGGGACGGGGTGTGATGTTCAAGGTCTTCAGTATACTAGGCTTGTAAAAGATATGTAAGTTACCACTATTCCTTTCTTACTTATATTAAATTCTCTGTCCTCCAACTTAAACTGCTCCCTCAGCAAAATCACATATTTTTGGTCAAATTAAATGCTTGAAATAAATTTCCCTCAAAAAATCCAGTTTTTGTCAAGACAAAACAAATCCCTTTTTTTCAAATCATTTCCTGAACTAATAATTTATTCACATGGATTCCGTTTGGATACATCTCAAAGTAATAAAAAAATCCACATTTTAATGCAAAATGCCTTTTTAAAGTAGGTGTTATTAATTTAATTCAAATAAATGATATAATGTGAAATATTTGCATGACTCTAGACAAGCATTTTCATGAATGAAAATACTTTCCTAGGCCAGCGGCATGTTTTGAAAAAGATATTTCTTTTGCACTATATTCATACACTTTATGATCTACCGTCCATGACAGCATTGAGCTAAGAATAATGTTATCAATGATTTTCTGTTTATTTCTATGAAAAGCACTTTGATAAGAGGTCTTATCAAATAAGTAAAGTTTCCATGTATAGCAGCAACAGCATGTCGTCACAGACATGGCAAGCAGAGGCTTAGTGAAGTTTGGAAAGATAAATGGGGTAGTTCATTACATTCTGAGAGTTTTCCTTTACGTACACCTAAGTAAATATTAGGATACCACAGCTGTACACTGAGTAAGGCCTTGCTTAATTCAGCACAGGGTTAGAAGCATCAGTTTAGCAGGGGCAGGGGCAGAACTACAAGAACATAAATTAATCAGTGGTTCAGGCTGGAGCCCAAATTACACCATCTGGACTGAGCTTTCTTGAGCCTATTCTCAAATTACCAAAAGTAAGTCTAATTTGGCTTTTTTTTGGGCAAAATTATGCTTGCTAACATTATTACTGCAATTATATGTGGTGGTGAAAATGAGAGCAAGGAATATGATTCAATCAATAATCTCTAACTAGAGAACTTAAATGAACTTAAGTGAAAGAAACGCATTCCATTTTTTCACATAATCAAACTAGAACCCAATCCTTTACCCACTTACTCCCTGTAATACCTTTTCTATATTCTTTCAAAGGAAGATCCCACACTCAATCCCTGATCTTCTTTCTATACTTCCTATTTCCCATTTCTGCCCCGTTCTCAGATACTCCTCTTAGGATCCTTCAGATAAATAGTCTGCATCTCACATATTGCGATGTAGATCACTGGACATCTAGAAGTGGTTCTGTGGTTCCAGAGAACCTCCAGTCTCATAGGCTTTGCTACCCCCAAACTGGAGACCCTGCACCTCCTGGCCTCCAACATCCGTATCTGCAAAACAAGAGCAACACCACAGAGTCTCTGGGTCTTTGCAGCCATGGCCACACATCATTCCCCAAACCTTCTACCTTCCTCCATGTTCTGCATTCACACACAGGCTGGATCTACCAATCAGCTCCACTTGATACACTGGCTTCTATAGTGTGAAAGAGGCATCACCAGGAAAGGCAAGATGTAAGGCTCTGTGCTGAACAGCATGTAGCCCGTGTCATGGTGACATGCCCCTTTTCTGTCAGGTTATCTGCTGGGACATCTCTCCCATTCTGCGACTTGTGGCCTGATGTGCTTAGATCTGGTGGTAAGTTTCAAGAGGCTATATAGCAGATTGCAGCCCACAGGTGACCTCTTTAGACAGAATGGCTACCTTCTCGACAGCTAAAGTTAGACAAGACTAATCCCCTTACCTGAATAATGCATAGGGCTTTTGGTGAAACAGACAGGTTCTCACAGTTACTCTTATGCCGATCTGCATAAACTATAAGTGAGTCCCTTCACGTGGATCTCCATACAAAAGCAATGGACCTCCGTTATAACTGAAGAGAAGAGGAATAACCAGAGAAGCTTCCTTTGAGGGACAGCAGCATGCCAACGGAGCTGGATGAACAGCACAGTGCAAAGTACGTGCCTCCATGACCATTAGGCACGATGAACCACAGTGCTCCTTTGGTCCAACAGAGCTGTCTCATCCATGCAATATCTACTCTAATTTTCACTTGGGTTACACAGGGTAAGTACCTCTACAACACACTCCACCGGGGGTAAAAAACTGTCAGATATCTGGGGAATTTCTGCCTTTCACTAACCAAAGGTTTGGTCACCTCAGTCACTTATTATAGTTGTCATATTTAAACATTTCACTTAATGATTAAACACTCCTCTATATCCTGTTAGGTACTAGTTGGAAATGACAACAAATTTCAGTAAACTTTTACCTGCAGCGTTTGGGTGTCTCCCACCAGAGGATCTGCTGTTTTGGGTGATTTAGGATCACAACTTTCAGCATGGTAATGTAAAAGGTTATTATAGGCTTTCTGCTTACTCTTTTTGTTTGGACAAGAAATAGCAAAAAAGCTCTTTCTTTCAGACTAAAAACTCTGGTAGGTGTGGAAGGTTTGTGGCAGAAAAGTCAGTTTGACAGCACAGAGTTGTAGAAAGGTGTTAATATTAAAGATACACTAAAGAAGAAGAGGATTACATTATATAAAATAAAAAGGGAACTTCTATTAAATTTCTGAATTAACAACAGTACCAGAAATTAAACTCAGCTTCCAAAAGCAACATTAATGCAACAGCATTAATCTGTTTGGAAGCTGAGCCAGCCATCTTTTTAGCTGCTTAGTAATGGTTTTCTAAAGAATTCATCAGGCTATAAGTAAGATTAACATATTCATCAAAATGATTATTCTTATGACCATAGTGACTTTAAGTTTCATGATGCTTCAGAGGAGTGGTGCTGACACTTCATTCATGACAGCAAAAGACTAGTCTTATTTAAGAAATTGCTTCTGTATTAACTCATATGAGTAATGTATGAATCTAGAGTTTAGTTCTATCAGGGGAAAGGAAATTATATATTTGAACTATGTATCAGTGGGAAGCAAATTACTCTATATTCAAGAGTTTTGTAATCTCCGTATCAACTATTTAATAATGCATTTCAGGTTTTATTCTCCTCAAAGCTAGAGGAGTTTGGTATACAGTAACAAAGAAATGAAAAAGTGTTTTACGGGGAAACATCCGTGGCA